TAAGAAGACAGAATTTATGCTTGTGAGGAAAAGAAGCGTCAAACATTTGATGTGATTGCTAATGGTATTAGCATAATCCAGAAATAACAGTAATAGTGCAAACAGAATTACATTCCTAGCCACCTGACAAAGAACAACTTCCTTGTAGTCCGGATATGGGAGGCTATATTTTGATTAAAATAAAAACACTGTTATCATGTTTAACTTTTTTTTTGATATTTGATAGTCAAAAAATAATCTAATGGTGAGTAAAATATAATTTTTTGTTGCATGATGATTCTCTCCTTTTCAGTGCCATTCTCAACTTCTTCTACATTTCGTTTTGCTTTTGTTCTGGAATTTTTTTAAACGAAGGAAACTTTTAAATCCGCGTCTCTTTTTGCATTCCTCATAGCTGTATGCTGGCTTTCTTTCCATAAAACTGACTACCTTTTCAGTAGCTTTTTCAATTCCAGTTCAGATTTTATCACAATCATGTTTTCTATTTCCTTGTTCATTGTGACAATTTGGACGCTGGTGAACAGTTTCTTTGGAAGATTTTATATCATACAATGTTGACTTTCCTATGTTGAACTCAGCCATTAGTTACAATGAACCTTCACCAGTGTATAGTCTGATTAAGATTTCCACTTTTTGCGAAAGCGCCGAAGTTGTTCTTTTTCTCTTATTCCCATCATCTTTTGCATCAATACAAGTCATTTTGGTGAAATAAGCATAAGAAATTATGCAAAGTAAATTTCCTGAAAAACAGAAATTTCAAATCAGTTAAATATCATCCAAGTTCAAATATACACGTCAAAATCATGTCCGGATAAACGGGATTCCGGATATGAGGCACTTCGAATATTATGGATTTCGGATATGGGAGAGTTCGGATATTAAGGATCCTAATATATTAAATATTTTAAAAGTGTTCAAACAGAGGACGGAAACTCAGGTATCGAAATCAGAAGGCTCCTTGGGGTTGTGTAAATTGTCTTCTAAAAGTCAAGCAAATTATTAAGAAATATGAAAATTTCGTTAGAAACAAAGAAAAATATATTTAACTTTTTATGAAATATCGGTCTTCATAGAGCAGTAGATGCTGTACAATCACCTGACAGATGAAGAAGAGATTTGTGGCAACAAAAACGGGGTTCTACAGAAGGATGTTGAGACTATTATGAACTGAGCACATGAGCAATGACGAGAGTTTTGAGAAAATAGAAACAAAAAGGATACTTCTACTTACCATCAGAAAGTGAAACAGATAATGAGGAAAGAAGGCTTAGGAAATTTGACAATGACAGGATATATTGAAGATAAGAGGGTGAGTGGAAAGCATTGCATATTGTACCTAACTAGCTAGTGTGACTGGTTGGCATGACAGAGCGGGAATTGGGAGAGATAGTGAAGAGACAAAATAAAAGACTGAAAATAGTGGTGAACCATGATCACCCTGTAAATATAAAGCACATAGAAGAAGAAAATGAAGTATGTACAACAATGACTATATCTTAACATGCCATTTAATGACTGGCCATTTAACATGCATTTTGACTTATTTTAAATGTATCTCTGCTGTACTTAATATATGATTTAATGTATTAAATACATATATTTAATATATTTGTTTTATATTCTTCAATGTATTTTTAAATATTTAATGTACAAGATTTATTCTATCTTTTCACTTGTATATCGCAAACCATTCGATGATTTATATTTCCATATCAAAATCACTGACGAGCTTCATTCTTTACTTTCACTAGTTCAAAGGTAAGGCCCGCCATAAAACGTACACTAGAACGAACCATTCCCATTGGCTTCATATTTTTTTTATTCAGAAGGACATTCCAGTTAGATTGTTTCTTCCAAAAAGTCTCTACTTTGTAGAACAGACTCACGAGGTGTTGCTTTCCCAGTCACTCTAAATCTTCATTTCTTCAAGTCGTAAGTTAACCGTCATACCTTCTTAATATGTCATGTCCCCCTCATGATTTAGAATGGTGGTTTGTACATCGCAATAGGAGAGAATCTTGCGATATGAAAGTTATTCGCATCAGGATCTGGTTGTTTTCTTTTTTAAGCATCAGCTTAGGGTAAACATCGGATCTGGTAAAAAACGTTTGATTTCGACAGGTGGGTGACTGAGGCGAGCCTGGATACCATATATAAAGTTATATCTTCTTTTATCGCTCCCCTTCTTCTCAGGACTGTCTTTTGCTAGGTAACATATCTACAATATAGACCGCTTTCTAAATTCATCTGCGAATATTTTGATTTTTGGCGATATCAAGGCTCATCATATTGAGGCTGTTAATCACTCTATTGCCGCTGATCCCTCCAGGGTTCAGATATTGAATTTCTTAGTTGCTCATTCTCTCACTCATATAAGGGATTTCGCTAGTAATTCTAATAAACATCTTTCTTTATTTGATCAGTTCCTTACCGTTTATCCTGACACATCTCATGCTTTGCAACTCTTCAGGACTCGGTATTGTTTGTAGATACTTATTTCCGCCGTCTATTACACAAGAACAAGAACCCCCCTATTAACAGAACAGCACGAAAATACCAAATGAAACCGCAATCTTATCCTTGGGTCGATTCTGCCGGTTCAGCCGCTGTAGCCCATCGGAATGACTACTTCTGCTATATCACCGTGACAGTTCTGATCATAACTGTTGAAGCTTAAATAAGCATGGAATAATACAACACAAAATGTACGTTAACAAAATGTATTGAAACAAAGAATAGGTACACAATATTTACAGTTAGTTTGGTATATTCTTGGGAAGACTGTTCCTGCATAATGGGTTGACTAAATCGCAGTCGGGCAGAGTCTCTGGATTCAATTTCTTAATCTCTACTATCTTCCCCGTCTTCCGGTACCAACCCATATTTATATGGTCGGTAGTCCGCTTATGTAAATTAGGTGTATCATACACAACAATAACAGATGACTTTTGGCATCCTCTCCTAATGAGGTTAAGTGTCCTCAACAAGGGAGTCACAATTCGATGATAGAACGAGACACTGTAGAGCCTATAGGTCTTCTATAAAACAGCCGGCGCAGCTCGATTCTGGAGTTGTTCCCACGCTGGTCAGTATTGCTGTTGGTCAACTGATGGTTATCAGGTGTCTTTGTTCCTTCATCTGCCATGCCTAAAGTAGGTTTCTATTACACGGCCGGCTCTGCTCGATCGTGGTTTGTTCCCTCGCTGGTCAGTACTGCCGTCGGTCAATTGGTCTTTATCTGCTGGCTGCTTCGTTTCTTCATCAGCTCCATCCCACGTTCATTCTACCAGGATCACAATAGTGTAGCGCTTCAACACTCTCTTCAATCAATTTAATGTATTATTATCTGCAGCTGATGAAGCAAAATACTTTGCTGGGAAACGTCTTCAACACCTCCTCTCTTCAAACAATTTAAAGTATTGTTATCTGCAGCTGATAAAGCAAAATACTTTGCTGGGAAAGTTTCTTCCAGTTCTACTTTCAACTCTTTAGGAGTATCGTATGTCTGATTTTCCTTAGATATTATTCTTAATCAGTGATATGAACATAACTTCTTGTATGGTTTCTGTTATTCTCTCCAAGCTAGATCTCTAAAAGGATTACAGTGTTCTCTCTTAAAACAATAAATGTGTTACTGCTTCTTGCTTTCCACCTCGTTGGAAATCCTCTTCTGTAGTCGCTGGCCTTAATAACTCTAATAACCTTCCGTCTTCTCAGATCTACATCTTCTTAGTGTCCTACCTCTTTTTAATGTTTTATCTATTTTTAGTAAAGTAATAGAGTCTTTAATCAATTGAGAATTTGTTTAAAAAATCTTATTTCATAATGGATAAAAATTAAACCTTTCTTTTCTCTATGTCAGACTCTGATGTGTTTACGGTTATCTCTGAATTTGTCTCTCAGACGTTAGATAAGGAAGGCGAGGCAAGGGATTTCGCTTTAGATATCTCGAAGGCGATTGACAGGCTTTGGTATGCTGGATCTTGCCACACGCTCAAGTGTTATGATGTCGGATATTTGACTTAAACCAATTGTTCTTAACAAATCGTCTAATGAAGATCGAGTTGAACGGCCAAACTTTTAGATCATTTTACATTAATTCTGGGGTTCACCAGCCCTTTAGCCTTGACCCTACGTTATTTGATATCTTCGTTAAGAAACTTATCGATCTCATCAGTTCCCATCTAGGTATTTATGTTGACGATACAATTATTTACTCCCGTCTAAATAGGAAGTCCGATTGGTCCGACAAAAATAAGCGGCCCTTGAAATGATCACCAATCAGGTATTAATTGGGGCAAAAAATGCTTTGTAAATTTTAACAATTCCAAAACGAAACTGCTATATTTTAAGCATCATAGAGAACCATTTTTGCTTCCCATCAGCATGGCTGATTCTAACCTCCAAAAGAGAAAATCGGTGTGCTATCTTAGTATCGCGTTTTCCACTGACATGTAGTTGAATGATTATATTGAATCAATTACTAGTTCTGCTGCTACGAAAGTCGGTTCCCTGTCTCTTGCTAGGCAATTTTTCTCAACAGAATATTTGTTAAGACAAGCTTATTCAAATATAACAAACATTATGGGAGAAAATACACTTTAGTGAAATACAATGAAATAGAAATGAATGATTCAACAGAGAAATAGTAGTTAAAAATTTAAAGAACGGTCACTAGAAGGGATTGGTAGTAATTAGAAAAGCCTAAAACTCATCACAAACTGACTTTGTCATTATTTAAATATGTCTTATGCTTATTGCTAACATTGACTCAAATTTGTTTAAGGACGTTCTGAACAGAATGTCTCGAAGTTGCAGTAAGCAAAGTCTTAATTAAATAAACAAAATTGCTAAGAAAACTGATCTTGTGGCCGAGTAGAATTTCCTTAATTAATTAGAATGGAGAATAGGCTTTTAAAGTAAATCAGATAATGAAAGAACTTTTGGAAAGGTCGCGATTATATATCGACCGAATACGACTAAATATAATGGAAATAATTTCAATCAAACGGGTGAATTAAAAAAAGGAAAAAAAAAAGAGAAATTAGAAATAAATTAAGAAAGGCTGAGATCAAGAATGAAAACAAGAAAGAAAGAAATAAGGAATGAAAAAAAAAGAAACGACGAATAAATACAGAAAGTAAGAACTGAAATAGGGACGAAAAAAAAGAAAAAGGTGTTAAGAATGAAAACAAGCGAAGAAGTAAAAGCAAGAATGAACATGAACAAGAATGAAAATAAAGAGATCAAAAAGGAAATTAAGAAAAGTAAAAATTAAGAACAGAAATAAGCAGGAAAAAATGAAATGAATGAATGAAATAGAGAAAGAAAAATATGAAGGAAAAAATAAAGAGCAAGAAACCAGGAATGAAAGTGAACAAAAAAGAAATCAGGAATGAAAGTGAACAAAAAAGATATCAGGAATGAAAGTGAACAAAAAAGAAACCAGGAATGAAAGCAAAAAATGAATCAAGTATAAAGGTAAAAAATAAATGAAGAATGAAAACAAGAAAGAATGATTAATGAAAACAAAATATAAATAAAAAAAGCATAAGGGAATTATAAAGAAATCAACAACGACAACAAAAACGAAGTAAAGAATTTCATCAAAAAAGAAATTAGAAAAGAAAAGAAAAAATAATTCAAGAATAAAAACAAGAAGAAATTCAGAAAGAAAATGAAAATCAATAGAGAAAGCAAAAGAAAAAGCAAGAATAAAAGCAACACTGTAAACAGGAATATTAATAGAAAAAACAACAATAATGAAAGCAAAAAAAAAATATCAAGATTGAAAGAAAGCAAGAACGAAAGAATGGAAATAAGAAAGAATTATAAAATGAAATCAAGAACGAAACAATGGATGAGAAAAAGAAATCAAGAATAAAAGTATGATGAAATAGGAATGAAAACGAGGAAGACATCAAGAATAAAAGAAAAAAAATTCAAACAGAAATCGAGAATGAAAAAGGAAATAAAACAAAATCAGTAATGAAAACAAGAACGAAAGACTAAATAAAAGCAAGAAGACAAAACCAATCAAAAAATAAAAGCAAATCAGGAATGAAAACAAGAAGAAACTCCATAATGAGAGGTGAAAAGAAATCGAGAATGAAACGAAAAACAAAATCAAGTATCAAAGTGAAAACAAAATGCAGTCTGAAAAAAGAAAACAAGAATGAAATCGAGAATGAAATCAAGAATGAAAGCAACTATGCAAATAAAGAATTAAAAACGAAATCTAGGATGGATGCAAAAGAAAAGAGATGAATGAAAGTAAGAAAGGTATCAGAAATGAATGCGTAAAATAATTCAAGGATGAAATCTAGAACAAAATTATGAATGAAAACAAACAAGTAAAAAATTAAAGCAAGAAAAAAAAAGGCAGGAATATAATTCAAATAGAAATCGAGAATGAAATTCAAAACGAAATAAATCAAATTAAAAAGAAAGCAAGAATAAAAAAAATATCAGGAATGAATTTTAGCATGAAAGCAATCACGAATAAAAGCCAGAAAGAAAGAAACCAAGAAATAAATGAAGGCGAGACTTTAATAAAGAAAACAAATTGAGAAACTAAGGAAGAAAAACAAATAAACAAGTAAAGATAGATAGAAATACGAAAGAGACACAAAACGAAAGAAAGCGAATAAGACGGAAAAATAAAAAGCGAAAAAGAAAATTTTAAAAAATCAATCAAACATTGAAGAACAAAACAGAAAATGAAAAGAAGAAAACAAAATCCAGAAAGCAATCAAAATAAGTCAACACGAAAGAAAGACAGAAATGAAAGAGAAAAATGGCGAAGAAAGACAGAAAGGATCCACTAAACGTAAAAGTGTATGCTTTTGGGAAATGGCCAATCAGTAGATGAATGCAAAGAAAATGCAAGAAATAAATTTTTGATTTCTTGTCATTTTATTATATCAGTCAATCAGAAAAGGATCGCAAACGTCAGGCTAAAATCTCCGTTAATGAAAACAAGAGAAGCAGTACGCCACAACTGACGCGAATTTATTGAAATGTGTTCAATTTTCTTTTTCATTCCATTATATGAAATATAGTAACGTTTTTCTTTTTCTCGTCAAGTATTTTTCTTCTTTACATGGATATATAGTGGCTTGGCGTTGTTTTATTTCAATTAAGGCGTTTTCAATGGTTGCTTGATATTCACTGCATTGGTGATGAATATTATTCCTTTTATGAATCTTCCCAAGGCAAACGGCATTGAAAATCACTTCTTATTATTTGCAATGTTTATTTTGAGCATTTCTAGCTATTAGTAGAGACAGACTGAATTCTGTAAATTTCTATAGACCTCCTTAATGAAACAAATTAAACAAAAGACTGTAGCAGTTATGAAAACGTTAGCTCGTAAAGATAGCGTTGTCCAGCATATTAAAAAGATGGCCGCGTCATTTCAGCAGGTTATAATGCTAAAACATTCACATCTGCCTCTCTCTTTCTCTCTTTCTCTCTCTCTCTGCTCCATGTCCTTTCAGGGCATGGACAATTATGTTTCATGGCACAAATTTTTAATGTTTTTGTGACCCATCTGTCACTAGTAATTTTCCTCCCTTATTTACTTATATAACTGTTACTTGTCAAGTAAATCGGTCACTGATTTACTCTGCTTCGCTTCATTTTGACTCGTGAGTATTAAATTCGGTCAGCCTTCTTTCCTCATTATGTTTCCCCAGAATTGGTCTCTTTTCGGTTGCTAGCTACAGTTTTTTCTAATTGTCATTTATATGAGAAACAGAATAATTTCGTTAGGAACAAAGCAAATATGTATGAACTGATACGCAATACGAAGTGGCCGAGTGGTTAGAACTATACGCTTTCTGACCAAAAGACCCGCGTTCGAATCTCACCGCTGTTAGTTTTTCTGGAAAGATATTTCCTGACGTTATCGATCTAGAGGGGGCCTATCCCAGGGAAAATCACATACAATTTGCATTTAGTTATTTCAGCCCAAGTAAGGCGATAATGCCACTAAGAGGCAGGAGGTTACTTAGAGTGAACCAAAATGCGAAAACTTTAGTGAGGTAACACAGCAGAATAGAACAGGATTCAGGAAGACACAAGATAGTGATGGATGCTACATTTAAATTTTTGAATGTTGCAGGTGGTTGGGAAGCGAAAAAAAACCCCCAAACCCTAGAATGCCGTTCCACATGCGGGAAGTCTAATAAAAGAAACTATTGCCATAGAACTTGCGGTTGCATATAAATATTTCAACAGTAAATGATGAAACTTATTTGTCAATCTACTAGTAAGCTTAAATTCGTGCGCTTGGTGCATCAAGAAGTATTGTTCATTTGAACAATTGCCATGGAAATATTTATAGAATCTAAACACGGAATCCATGTTACAGCGGTTGGAAAATGACGAAAGTTGAGATGCCAGATCAGGACCGACAATATTGCAGATTCTTCTTTTGAATCTGTTCAGTGTTTCTAGATACATAGCAGAAGCATCAAAACAAATATGTCGGAAATATTCAGTGACTGGTTGAATGGTGACATAATATGCCGTATAGATTCTGGTGAGAAGTATTGGCTTTCACGACACTTTCCTAGCACCAGTCTTAGCAATTATCTCGATAAAATCATTCCAATGTATATGAACTGAAAACATTAGACAGTGAATAAATTATTCTACTGTAGGTTAGTCTCAGCCATGTTGACGCAAAGTAAAAAATTTTGTAAGACGATTAAAAGAGCGTAGTTTAGTTTAGCAGCGTCAAAGTTAACAAGACGTTTCTTGCCACTGTATGATGAATTTGACCAATTTTGTTTCCATTTACTTAAATGAAAATAATCATTGCTGACATAGGAAAAAGCTAAGATTTAAACGGAAAACAGAAAGTGTGAAGGTACGTTGGAATAGCGACAAATGTCTTTCAGAAAAAAAAAAAAATATTAAGAAACAAAAACATTTCGAAATAGCTTAACTGCTATATAATATCACCCGACCTATATAGAAGTGAATGCTGAACAATTCCCTGACGGCACAAGAAAATACTTCAGGAAATATGTATGTTGTTTAATAGAAATATGCTGAGAAAACCATGGAGGGAGCCTGTGAACAATGATATAAAAATCCATTCAATTCTGTGACATCCATAAGAGAAAGCATCACTGTCTGACGGTAATTGATGAATTCCTGATTGAAATGAACAGTCATGTTAGGTATGAGATTTCATTTTATTTGTTCTCAAAACGACAGTGTTGTTCTTCTCTACTAATATCGAATCTACGTCACGTGTTAAAAATATAGGTCTTGTTTAAAATTTTGCTAAGTCTGTCAAATAAATTTAGAAATGACAGATGAATATTGAAAGAATTAATATGAAAATAATTTCGGTTTGGTATCATTGTTGCTAAGATCTGACACAGAATATTGGCAGCAAGCATTACAATAAACTTTATCGGAACTCGAAAATTACATTAAAACAAATCATGAATAATCTTTTTTTTTTCTTTGATCTGAGGCATAATCAAAATACGAGAAAAACAAATTCTACGATTCGACACAATTATTTTCACTTCAGATAATTAACAATAATAAAAGAAATTTTCTGTCGAAAAGCGAAAACCTAGTAATTGGAATATTCTGTTTTTGTTTTTTTTATATAACATCAGAATCAGCACAGATGCACACACAATATTTCTGAGATGAGTTATTGTAACTATTTACATTATTTACATTGTTCGGACTGTTGTCCTCAAATTTACTGCCTCAAATTTACTGGCATATTCACGACGTTTCAGCCGTTGTACGCCCCGGCCGTCATCAGGTGATCTACCAGGGTAGATTATTCTAGGTCCACGTGGTATACATCTTCCTGATATCTTAGTTATCTCCCTTTAACTCAACTCCCAAAGTTTTTGTTCTCCACTGCAGTATCCAAGCATTGAATTTACAACACTTTGGGCTGCATAGCTGGATCCAACCAAAGCTTTTATGCACTTTAAGTTCCTTAAAACCAATTGTTTTCAAAACAATGTAATATCCCAAGCCAGTGTTAAATAAGCGGATAACAAAAATTGACATAGGAAAAACTGAATGACCCTGGAAACAAAAATTACACATACAGAAAATACTTTATATATAGCAAATACGCAAACAGCACAATACTTTATAAATATATATGGGAAATTAAAAAACATTATATATCATGGCAAATATGAAAAGCTCATCAGCCTATATCAATAGATGCAAAACTTGTAAAGTTTGTCTCTAGGAGACAAGAGACAAAATCACCTTCCCAAACCAACACAACTTACTAAATAACGGAGAATTCATCAAAAAAATCAGATACGAAAAAAATGTTTTACTATATTACTTAAAAATCTAAAACTAAAAACGAATACTTCGGAAAATATCAGCATGAAGAATAATAAATAAATTAACAAAACACGAATAGCAATTCACACATAAATCAAATTAAATATAATAACAGTAAACAAAACAAATAACAAAGTAATCAATAAGAAATAATGAGTAAACAGTTAAAAACCAACACCATGAAATAGCTACAAATTACCGCATTCAGATGTACAATTATTTCTATTCAAGGAGGCACGGTGGAGTAATGGATAGCGGCTTGGATTGAGGAATCCATTACATTCACTTACGTGCTAACACCCTTGGGAAAGGTGTGAATCCTCTTTCTTCTCCCTCCAGCTATGGGTAAATAGCAGGAGAGACTGGGTTCTATAGCCTTGAGTGGCAACTAGTCTAGGAGAAGGAAAACTCTGAATTCAAAACCTGCTCTTAGATGAGGGTGAATGGAGTCTCTCTGAGCCTTGGTTGGCGATCCATTTAGTGATGGTGTCGCGATAAAAAACACCCTTGATAGCCCTAGCGAAGCATCAAGAATTCAGCTATTGACAAGATTATGAACTACACCAATCAAAGTATTGGTGAGTTCAATCTCCGCTGAGGCCGCAAGAAGAAGAAGAAGAAGAAGAAGAGATTTCTATTCAATAGCCTCTACTCATAACCGTTAGGATAATACAATAGTCTTTGCTAGTCATAATGCATCATTCAACAGCATATATAAAGAGTCAATTTAAAACACATCACACATGGACTGAAGATCGCCTTCACGCATGAAACAGACTTGGTGTTGATCTCAATGTCTACTTATATATTGTGCTAATGTCGAAAGTACTCGCAATAAATGTATCAACATGGTAATTTCCTCTCTTACTTGAACAAGGATACTTTTGGACATATGTTTATATGGAAATTTTACCATCTTTTGGTGTGAGGAACTCGTCCCCAAGTATTTTTTAATTTTATCTTGGATCGTATATTTAACAGTGTTTATCGTAAACCTTAAGCTTAATAACTCAAAAACAGAATTTTCTCCTTGTTTTGGTGCGAGGAATCCGTCCCCAAAGTTTGTTAAACTATTTTTGGTACACCCTTTTAAAGTAAACTGCCTTTGTAATTAATGAAGTAATGTGCTCAATATCAGACAGACAGAACAATCCCAATAACAAATAAAATTCAATTCATCTGTCTCTACTCAAAGTTTGGAGGATATTTCGACGCGTCAGATGGCTTTTTTTTAATTAAATATGAATTCAAATCCCAAAACAATATAATTTGTGTAAATTACTTCAATTTTACCAAAGGATATACACGGAACTCCAACTATTGATATATCTATTTACATGCAGTTAATGACAAAAATACGCAGGTGTAGGCTTTAATAAAAATTTATTCAACTGAGAATAGAAGGTTCGCGTATAGTGTCCTTTTATAGTCCCAGTAAACAGAAATAGCTATCTCAAAGAAGAGAATAACAAAACAACGGGAGACGACTTTTGATTATTCACAACAATACGTTGAAAATTATCATTAAATACGACATTGCTCAAGATAAGGTGTTCATAAAAAGATAATAATAAATGTAACATATTTCACTGCGTATTTTGATTCATCAGTAATTTGAGATGTGGTATAATGCGGACTTAATTTTCAGTTTATTTTCATTGGTTGCATGGACGTCACGTGTATTCATCATGGCGCCTGTGCGCCTGTTTGATTCCTGAAATCTTAGCGTAATTTAAGTGAGTAATAAAAATTGGGTTTATTCGTATATGTTACTTGCATGGTAAATAAGTCGAATGCTGCAAGTGAATGCCTAACACGAGGTCTACATTCGTCTGCAAATATTTGGGTCTTTCTTTACGATCAATGTTTGTTCCCTTACTATCGCTCTCAGTCCCTGTTCTACCGTCTATTGGTATAAACGCGTTAGGTAATCTACTGGATGTTTCTCTTTTCAGTTCCTGCTTTCAATATGGCCTCTGATTGTTAAGTTCTTCAAGTCTTGTCTCCTTTTTATGGGTCCCAGAAATATTTACTGTCTCTTTCCGATTATATAAATAAGTAATTACTTCATCCACCAATTTTCTTAAAACTTGCTCGTTGATCACATGGTCGCTCCATAGTATTTCTAACATCTCTCTCTATAACAACGTATTCGGTGCTTCAAGTCCCGTCATCATCTATAAGGAAATTATCCAGCATCACTCCTAAAGAGGAGAATTGATGTTACATAAAAGTTAAACACTATTTCCTTTGTTACTATGATGTTGCTTAATAATTTGCTAAGTTTTGGAAAGCATCTTTCTCTATTACAATATGAATTTAGATTTTAACAATTTTTGACGTTTGTCCTATGCCTTTTCGGGTAGCTATGTGTCCCAGAAATATCATTTGTCACGTTCAGATTCCAAGTGCAAGTTCTCTTTTAAATGACACTTTACACCCATGTTCTGTCCATTGTATTCTCAGAAGCATCATTCTTTTAAATCACATCTCCGTTGCTTTATGTTTCATCAGTGATGGATAATTCTTTAAAAGGAAAAACTCTCAATCAATATGCTTATTTGGAAAATTCTAAATGTTTTACGAATATCTATTCAGGAAAGAAAAAAAAAGACCCAAAATTTGGCGTGAAAATTAAATTCTACATGTTCTTGAGTCCCTAGATAAGAAATCTCTTACATAAATTGTCCGTAAACCTTATACAAATAGTGTAGTCTTTTCTTATTTTTGGATTTTCTCAAAATTGAAAACTGACCTGACATCCGCGACGTTTAGCAACCGATGGCAACATTACTGAAAGGAATTCCTGAAAATGAGTCCCAAGAATTTGGTTAGCTTGCTTAATTAGTTTTCTACGGCTTATCAGTAGGCTATAATAGCTCTCCACAATTACCTGTCTTTTGTAGCTATAAATACGTTTTTTGTTGTTATGTCCTAACACTTTATCAGTCACCCATTTACTCAAACTCACTAAGTAGGTTATGCGTTGTTTTCCTCTTTTCCTCTTGCCTTCAATCTGTCCTGTGTGTATCATATTTTCCAAGCCCTTTTATCTCAAATGTCACTTCCTGATGTTACATATAAGTCTCCTCTTGCTTTCTGCTTTCTGTATCTTGGCTCACATGATCGGTCCATGTTTTTGTTAAAGCACATTTCAGAGGACATATTGATTGTTTTTAGATAAAAATACGCACAGGTGTTGGTGATAACAGTTTGCTTGTAATTATCAAAATACAGGGCATTTACATTAAAAAATAATAAGTAAAAAAGAAAATGTTATTAGGTAATCCTTAATTAATTAACGACAACTCTGAAACATACTGTCAATGTAGAAAATACAACTACTTTGGCCACCAATCTATCTTTTCAGTGAATTAGCGCATTTGATGCCTGTTTCTGGTTTGGGAGTGATTTGTTCAAAGCGATGTTAAGTTTACTGGGGCCGCTTTCATTATTACTTTCCCGGGTAATGTTTGTGAAGCAGAGTCAATTGGGCCAGCGAAATTGGGATCGAGAAGAAACGATCATACAAGAAAGTCGAATTTGATTGGGTGAATCGCACGTAAAATTGTAAATAGAAGGCGACAACAAATCTTGCCTTAAAGACATTCCTAAATAAGAATGTTTTTCTTTCTTTCCTTCTTTATTTCTTTCTTTGCTTCTTCTTTGTTTATGTCATCTTTTTCCCTTGTTTGTTTGGTAGCATCGTTGCTTCTTTCTTTCTTTTTCTTCTTTTATAGTTGTCTTTGTTTCTTTCTTTTTTATCATATTCTTTCTTTCTTGCTTGTTTTTTTTTCTTCTTAAGTTATTTCTTTCTTTCTTTTATTGATTCTTTTTTCTTTGTTTCATTTTATTCTTTCTGCTACCTTTCTTTTTTCTTCCGTTTCCTTTTGTTTTCTTTTTGTTTTTGTCTTTCTTTATTTAACTTTTTTTATTCTTTGTGTTTTCTTTTTCTATCGCCACCTCTTGTGATTTTCATTTTTGTGTTCTTACATTTTCCCTCTTTCTGTCCTTCTCTTTTTGCACCCTTTCTTTCGTTTTCTGTCTTTCTTTTCTTCTTTTTTTGCACCTTTTCTTTTCTTTTTGTTCATTCTTTAGTTTTCTTTTTCTTTCTTTCTTTCTTTCAGTTATTTCTCTTTTTGTATGTTTACTTTTGTGTTCTTTCATTCTTCGGATTTCTTTCTTTCTTTTTTCTTTCTTTCGTTGCCTTTCGTTATTTCTCTTTTTCTAATCCTCTTTTCCTTTTCTTTCATTCCTTGGTTTTCTTTCTTTCGTTACTTCTTTTCGCACCTTTTCTCTCTTTTTCGTTCATTCTTTAGTTTTCTTTATCTTTCTTTCTTTCTTTCTTTTAGTTATTTCTCTTTTCATATTTTTACTTTTGTTTTCGTTCATTCTCTAGATTTCTTTTATTTTATCTATATTTCTTTCGTTCCCTTTCGTTATTTATATCTTTGTATTCTTTATTTCGTTTTAATTCATTCATTTGTTTTGTTTGTTTGTTTTTTTGTTCCTTCCTTCCTTCCTTCCTTCCTTTCTTTCTTTTTTCATCGACTTTAATATATCGTCTGAATTTAGCCTGGAAACATTTCCTTCCCAGAAAATTATGTTCAATGTTAAAGTGAAAATCACTTTATATTTTGTACTTGAATATAATCGATATGGACTTTATCCAGAATAATCCTAGCTAATTAATATATCAAAAAGGATTTTAGAATGAAAATAATATTTCAAACCGTAACGGAGATTTTCTAGCCATTTCTTGTATTACGGAATATGAACACAACCTGTAACAGAAGCAAAAAAGAAACTGTAAATGTTGTCAATGAGATAAAGTGAATTTCTGTTCTACAATGATAATTTTAATCGAAAACTAAGAAATAAAAGGAGAGAAAAAAAGTAAGTCTGGAAAATTGGAAAGTATTACACAAAGAGATTAAATAACACAAATCTCAAGAACGATAAAAGAGAAAGGTTTTTGTCTCTTGAAGCCGGAAAATTGTTTAATAAACCAGACTTTAAAAGACATCACAACAAATTCTAATCTGAATGACTTAAATCTCATTTCTTCTTTCTCACTATGTGCCATGTCCCTTCAAGGCTTGGGCAATCGTGGTTCTCCACCGCAGCCTGTACTTTGTTTTTTTTCTTTCATAAATACTTCTACATGATTTCTCTTTCGATTTCTGGTTCTCATTCCTCCATTGCTTTCTTCAAACGTATGAGTATTCTGAGTGGTAATTTTTAGAAACCTTCTTTCCTCGATATATCTTTATAACATTTCATTTTTTACCGTTTAATAACAGTTCTTTTTTAGACTTAAAACTTTCTTATTTGCCGCAAATTCTATTTTCTCAACAATTAGTCGATAAACATCCAAAACGTATCGGCTGTCTTTTAATCGTCAAAGAGAACCCTTTTTTCATTCCATCAGCATGCTAACATTTGAGGAGAGTGAATCATTGCAACTGCTCGGTGACATAAGGTGGAAAGATTATAGTGAATCAATTGCTACATCTGCTGTTGGAAGAGTTGGTTCCCTGTGTTGTGTTAGACAAATTATTTCTAGGTCTACAATTCGCTCATGCTTTGAATTTTGTTGCCATATCTGATCTGATGCTTCTACTATGTAGACATCATGATATGATATTTTGAAATTAATGGCCCACAAAATTGCAAGCTGAATCAGAGACGGTAAATCAGACGAAAAGTGGCTTCATCGATATGGTTTCGATGCTTTTACCAAATCCATCGCGTATTTCGGACATGACTTTTTCAGATGATCATCGATCCGAGGGCTTTCAAATCAAATTTCTCTGGAAAGTGGTTCCACATTATGGTTATAGAACTGGAATAGAAAATTCAATCGCTTGAATTCTCATTCTTAGAGGTGGAGTATTTATATACGTATATAATTCTATGATTTCCCTGAGGTTGGGAAAAGCTATTGCGCTGGAAAGTTTTGCATCAAACACAAATATTGTCTAACCATGAAAAATAAAAGGGAAGAAAAACATTGAACAATTTCGTGCGAAGCGCAGATTGTTAATTTCCAATCCTCGCTAGAAAAGATGACGCTTTCATGTCGCGTATATTATGAAGCAAATTGATGGTGCTGAGTGATATGCATCTGTCAAGCTCACATTGACAATGTAACTGCTCACATAAAATGCATGTGCAGTGCTGCATATTATCTATCATGCATTAAAGTAATGTATTTTCTAATTCATACATGTTGTAGCAATGTAACGTATTACAAAATCTACCTCTCTACCTACCTGTCTACCTGCCTACCTGAATATATGGCCCAAACTATCCATCTTCCTATCTTTCATCAACGTAATGTATTGATTAAATCATTAATCGTGTAACTATTCAAAATAATATCCATTTAATTAATCTTACTTTCATCAGCGTAATATATTATCTATCTATCTATCTATCTATCTCTATCTATCTATCTATCTATCTATCTATCTATCTAAATAACCGCATAAAGGATACCATGTCGTAAAATCAATTTATATAATATCCAGTTATATGTCATGATCAATTCATTCAGTTGCCGTGTGTCAATATAAAGTCGTCCCTATCTTTCTAAATGTGTTCTTGTCTATCTATCTATCTATCTATCTATGGGATAAGAGGTATGGTAATTTAATTCTCGAAATGACCACAGTGTGTAGAGAAACAGGCAAATATTTGTACACAAGTACAACCCCATGAGTTCGAACCTAAAACTTTCTGAGACGCCAACCACATGTTATTTCTTACCGAGCAGTAGAGGTGGTTGTAAGAGTTCATATTATATTATTGGCGGAAGATGAGTGGAAGTTATATGGGGAAGCAGGTAAACATATATTTTGGTACTAAAATTGTTAAAGGTGTTAGTGAACCTTTAGTTCTATTCACCTGGCGTATAGTGAACATGCTATGAAGAAATCTTTTAGTTGCATAGAGGATACAGGACAGTTCTAGATTGCACGGTGACGTAAGTGGCCGGCAGCCCAAAATCTAAAGAAGAAATTCCAGATCCAAAAAGTATTTAGAGATCCTTGATAAAATCCAACGAATCTGCAATGTTACTGGTCCTGATCTGGCCTCTCGACTTCAGTCACTTTCGCACCGTCGTAACGTGTCTTCCCTGCACCTTTGCTATATATTTTTCATGGTAATTGTTAGGATGAAATTTTTCCATGGTACCTAGACTTTATGAATTGAAGCACAGTACATGGTAATGTAACCGTAAGTCCTATTCTAACAGTTTCTTCTCCGCACTTCTCGTTTGTGGAACTCTCTTCCAAGTTAACTTTGATCTTAAAAAATTAAATGCAATGTAAATTTCTCAATTCTTGTTCTTTTATTGTTCACTCCCTTGATAGTTTTCTTTTCTATCTCCTATTCTCACACACTCAGTAACACTTTGCGTCATAGTGGCTTCATTGCCTTATTTGGCTGAACTGATAAAAAGAAAACGCATGTTAGGTCTTTGAAATCTTTTCTTCATTTGCTAGTCATATAGAAGTTCAGTGATGTCTTCCTTTGTTTCTCTTTTATAAATTTACGATTTCATAATATCAGTTTCTCAATTGTTTTGGAATTTATTAATTTTAAATAATATATTCTGCTTAGGGATTGAAGTCTGCTCGTATTTCAGATACAGGGATTCAAGTACTCAGAAATGGTACGCTGAAAGTACCAATTCTGATGTAACGTGGTTTCCAATATCGAATACCCGTAAACAAAACTTCAGAGTATGCAGTGAAAAACAAAGAATCCGGATAGGCGGGAAAATGCAGCCATGTCTCGTTTGCAGTTCAAGACAACTTTTGTGCGTTTCTTTCATCGGTGATGGACAATTCTTTAAAAGGAAAAACTCTCAATCGATATGCTTATTTAGAAAATTCTAAATGTTTTATGAATATCTATTCAGGAAAGAAAAAAAAAGACCCAACATTTGGCGGGAAAATTAAATTCTACACGTTCTTGAGTAAAGAAATCTCTTACATAAATGGTCCTTAAACCTTATACAAATAGTGTAGTCTTTTCTTATTTTTGGATTTTCCCAAAATTGAAAACTGACCTGACATCCACAACGTCCAGCAACCCATCGCAATTACTGAAAGGAATTCCTGAAAACGAGTTCCAAGAATTTGGTTAGTTTGGTTAATTAGTTTTCTACGGCTTATTAATTATTTTTACTTTACTTTAAGCCAGAAAATATATTTAGAATATAATATTTTGGGGAAAGGAGGTAGTAATGTTTTAGTGATGCAAGTCTTAATAATTAATCCATAGCTGCAGGAGAACAGATGGATTCCCAAGGATGTGTATTTGCATGTAAGAGAATATAAGGAACCCAATTGGAATTGGAATTCTCCTTCGTATTAAAAATCTCGAGCCATTATCCATTTCAGCATCCGAACATCTAAGCTTACAGCACCTGGTATTCCCAAGCGGTCACCCGCCTATTTACTGACCATGCTCGTCGTTGCTTAACTTCGGTGATCTTATGGCGATCGAAGTTTTAACGTGATATGACCGTAAGCCACTTACAATTATAACACATCCTGCGGACATCAACACCCGGTTATGTAAACACGTTTATTCGTCCGGTCCTCAGTGTCTAAGGACGATGTTTTTAAGCATAGGGTCAACTCTGCGCCGGTCAGTGTCGACGCTGTTCCAAGCTGATTGTTAGTCGTTGGCCGCTTCGATCCACACCAAATCTTCTCACTTTGTGTTCTTAATCTCAGAGCAGTGGACGATCGAATGTCGTAGTAATCGCGGTGCTGGTTCCAGCCATGGTGAGTGACATAGTAAGGAAAACATATCTTCACAACGAAAAATAAAACGAAAGATTCATAGGGTTAATCTTCAAATCTTTTATATAGTCTTAGTACAACAGAAATTAACCTTCCCCTCTTCAATCTCTATAGTGACACTGTGCCTCATGTAATAATTTGTGTTCAAAGTTCTTAGGAATCAGGAAATCTGGCGACAGCTGACGTGGATTCCAGAAGCACTTGATACGGGGGTTCTGAGCCCAAGTCCTCTAGCTTCCAAAACCGTCTGCTTATATGCAATTCGACCCAAACCTGGTGCGGGGATGAAGGGTTCTTGGGATTAGTTGTTTTTTCATTTTAATTTGCCCAATAATTCTAATAAGGGTTCTTTGTTCCATATTTCTGCTTTCTTGATCAACTTTCTAAATTTGGAGAATCATCTAAACGGGTGGGACCTAAACGCCAATCTAGTAGCACGCTTAAATTCATGTAGTGTAGAAAACCAGGGAAAAATTCTCATCAGAGCAGTTGCCATGAAAATATTTGTAGAAAAGGCAGAGGGAAGCTACGCTACGTCGGTGAGAAAGTGACTGAAGTCGAGAAGCCTGATCAGGATCGGCTATATTGCAGAGCGTTCTTTGGATTTTGTTAAGAATCTGTAGATGTACAGCAGAATCACCAGACCAGATATGTCAAGAGTATTCAATGCACACCCGTGCGACGAATCGGGGTATGATAATTGTATTCTATCCCTCTATACACGGAGAGACGGCAGTGGTTCGCGCCCAAAGGCCCGATTGTCCGTCCGTTCTACCGTGTCGTCTCGTCAGCCGAACGCGAGGAACAGACTAGTTCACTTAATTTTGTCCAATTTTGTGAAACCGTCGTCGCGTTGCGCATGGGACTCCAGTTCCCAGTGCGCTCGACCAGCCGGTCGGATGCGCTGAAGTTATTTTAGACTTTCTGGCTTTGTGATCCGCCTGCCCGTGGGACTACTCGAGACTCGAGTTTACTTTTTGGCTCGACAGAATAGCCAAACTTTCCTTGCACTGGATACATCTACGGATTCGATGTAGTCGCTCAACTTTATGTCAGTGGAAAACGTGAGGCCAAGAAGGCGTAGTGTGTTGATCTTCTGGAGTTTAGCATCAGCCATCCTGGTGTCAGTCAGAAAAGGCTCCTGTGCAGAAAAAAATACTTTGACTACCGAATTTGCAGCAGCGTAAAATATGATACACTCGCTCTATTGAGTATCAAATTTCTATACGGGAAAATCCATACTTCTGTTTATTTACCATCAATCAACCGGATGTATTCCTCAAGAAATTCAACTATGAAATCTATCTGGCATAACATAATATATTGTTCAATGTATCCATCTATTAGGAATTACAAGTCTGCTGTCAATCCTGCTGGCAATCTAGTACCAGACTTAAATCCGTAAAGTTGAGGTACCAAAAATTAAATATAGAATGTCATCATATATTGTAAATATGTATTTATGTATTCTCTTTATCAGTTGTAATAAATGAACACATGTACGACAGTGAAAAACAGGTTAATATTAAGGAGAAACTGTATCGTTGATTAAGGACATTAGTAAGTGTGAAGACTGACTTTTTAAAGACTATTCTGTTTCGTCTGATAAAAGGCTACAGTCTGTATACTGTGTTCGAAATCTTTCCCCTATCGACCAGATTTTAATAAAACACCGTCCAGTTCATCTACCACACTATCTAACTTGTATCAGGGTAATTTATTACGCATTTCGTACATCTATACAATTCTCATGAACCTACGATAAACTTTTCTGAAACAGAAATTATGATCAGCAATTTGAATAGATCCATCATAACATATTCATAATATTGAATTAACAAACTGTAAACATTTCAAACATGTCAGTATATAAATCAGTTATAAGAAATTTAGAATTGGAAAGTAGGATATAGTTGGGCATAGGATAGATTGCGCTAGATGAAAACATTAACTTAAGAACTCGAATCATGTTTATAGTCTCGTCAGATCTCAACTCTAATATGGTGATTTTCTAAGCTTGGCTTGGATGTGACACAAGGCCGAAAGTAGGAGGTACGTATTAAGGATCAAACTCACTATTCAGTTGCAAGTGATCTAGCATTATAACCATTACACCAACCTGATTTACCCTAAATAATTTTATAAGCGTATCTAAGGCCGAAAGTATGGGGCGCTCAGTGAGGATCGAACTCAGTATTCAGTCATAATTGTTCTAGCGAGACAAGCTTTTAAACATTACACCACGTTGAAGAGCCCAAATAATCGTAGCTTAGATGTGGCACAAGGCCGAAAGCGTGGAGCACCAGTGAGGATAGAACTCACTATTCAGTCGCAACTGATCTAACGAAACATGCTTGCTAACCATTACCCCGCGTCGAAGTGCCCACCTCGACTCTCACATGGATGTCATGTATGGAGTTCCGCTTGTTCAGAAATGTCAGAACCGTTGTCTTATATTAATGATTAAAAACCGATTCAAGCAAATCAATACTGCAACACGGAAAGAGGCCTATATAATATTTATCAAGGTACGGAGGAATAATGAATAAAAACTCGGATAAGGGATTTGGAGAACCGAGTTTGAATTCCAGTCCAGTTCATTACATTCACTTATGTACTAATACCCTTGGGAAAGGTAGGAATCCATTTCTATTCCCGTACTAGCTATGGCCAAATAGCGGAAGAGACAGGGTGGCAAGCTGTCTAGGAGAAGGAAAAGCCACGAACCCAAAAGCATCCTGGCTCTCTAGACCAGGAAAACACTGTTTCTACTACGGCTCCTATACATGTGGTATCCTTACAACCCTAATGTCATGATGATGATGATGTAGTAGAATCCCTCATATGTGGAATCCCTCATATCCACAATCCTTCATATCCGGAGTGCCCCATATCCGGAATCCCGTATATCCGGGCATCATTTTGATGTGTATATTTGAATTATTTGGGTGGTATGTAACTGATTTCAGAAATTTTACTTTGAATAATTTCTCATGCTTATTACACCCCAATGACCCGTAATGGTGCCAAAAAATGATGGAAATAACAGGAAAAGAACAACTTTGCAGTTATTGCAAAAACTGGAAATTGTAAACAGACTAGACGCTGTAACTAATGGCTGAGTTCAACATAGTCAATAGTGTATGACATAAAATCTTCCAAAGAAACTATTCTCAGGCGTTCACACTGTCACTATGAACAAGGAAATAAAAAATAAAATTGTCATGAAACCTGGACTGAAATTGAAAAAAGCTGTTGAAAAGGTTGTCAGTTTCATGGAAAAGAAAGCTAGCATTCAACTATGACGATTGTAATAACATACGTAGAGTTAAAAAGTGTATTTGGTTACAAAATTTCAAGAACAGTAGCAAAGCAAAATGCGGAAAAATTGAGAATGACATTGGAACAGAAAGAATCATCATGCAACAGCAATTATATTTCACTCGCCATTAGTTTATTCTGTTTACTATAAAACATTGAAAATAAATGTTAAATCCGATTTCAGTTCTTTTATTTTAATCTAAATATAACATCTCATATCTGGACTTTGTAACCAATTTCTCATATCTGGAAGGCCTTCTTAGTCCGGTTGTCAGGGATTCGACTGTACTTCATTAAACTGACTAGACAATTACAATGAACTTTACCAAATAGCAGCAACCGCATCACATTACATACTTTCAGCCGCAGTAACAATGGATAAAACGTGTAAGTCAAAGAGTTAATAATGACATAATCAAGAATTTCACTATCCAGGATGATGATGACACCCATAAAGAAAAGTATAGAAAGGAGACCCAAATCAATTCTAGAAGGATTGAAAATGTTGGCCTGAAAAAAATATTTTCCTGAAAAAATATTTGAAGAGAAAGACTTTATAAATTTATAAATTAATATATACAAGGTGTATCAAACATATTTTTACAAACTTAGTGGGGCGGTTCTTCACACGAAAATAAGGACAAAACCTAAACATATGTAAGCAAATCCTTCGATTCTGTGTTATTAAGTTTAAATAAAAATTACGGTAGATGAAGCTCTGTTGCCAAATGGATTAGGTTATATTTGTCATTCGTGTACCTTTGTGGCTAGTCAGTGTTCAGCATTAAACGTAGTATTAAGTGTTCCGTTTAACAATGGCTGGATATTCATTTCGTGAGGAAGCTTTCTTTAAACTTAATATCTCAGAAATGAAAGATTTGTGAACATGTGTTTATATGGACATTTGTCCTTGTTTTCGTGTGAGGAACACGCCCCAAAGTAATTTATACACCATATATATATATATATATATATATATATATATATATATATATATATATATATACAATTATGCAAATTAATGGAAGCAACCGCATTAGTTTCCACCATACGGTCTGTTTTAGACACTCTGGAGTTAGAGGCTATAATCGATTTTCTCAGATTATATGAATCTGTTTTCGGGGTGTATGATGAAATTTGTTTAGCCTTGAAAAATATTGCATCATCTGTGATTGCATCAGATTTTCATAACGCCCAGACAATATTTTTTCGACTGTCGATTAGTTGTCCTACGACCATTTTCTGCGATGTAAGTTATTCTAAGGAAGCGTACGAAAATTGTAACGTTGCACGAACACACTGACAAGTTTTACTAGTGACATGGTACCATAGACTGACCCAGAAACTCTCCTGATTTAAATCCAACCGAGAATCTGTGGTCAATCTGCAAGGTAATACTTC